GACACCATTAATTAACAACCTTCCGAGGAAGCTCCATCACCTCATTACCTCAATGACGGACAGCTATGTAGAATCTGCCATATAGAAGGGGCCCAATGAATGTTTCATGGAGGAGTGAAGGACTACTTTGCTATTTTCATTTCTGTTTTGTGAGTCTGTCATTTTCCTATTGACATTTAAAGGAGCTCTATACACACTTTCCAGAGGTGACCCACTGAGAGATGCTATGATTGGCTAGCCAGAGTCATTACCAACCCTTTCTCCAAGAGGCTGGAAATACTTGCCTTCCCAGCTAGTGGTAGTCACGTGACCCAGACTACTAGAAAGAAAAGCTATTGGAGGCTCTGGAAAAGCTTTTACTTTCCTGATAAAAGAGACGGATGAGTAGTGCCATGCCTTCCCCTGCTTCTTCTTTACTTGAATGCACATGTAATTTCCAGGGCTAGCTGGTCACCTTATCATATCTGAGGGAAAGATGAGAACTGAAGAAACACTGGCCCTGACATGCTAATACTAATAATTACCGACATCCAGACTTTTTATTAAATGAGGAAAATAACTCCCTATTTGGTTTGTTTTTTGTGTGTTTTTTTGGTTTTGGTTTTTTGTTTGTTTGTTTGTTTTTTTGGCCACACCACACAGCTTATAGGATCTTACTGCCCCGACCAGGGATTGAACACTCAGCAGGTTCAATCAGTCCTAACCACTGGACCACCAGGGAATTCCCTACTCTATATTTGTTTAAACCACTTAACAGTCATATTTTCTACTGCATATTTCCCACAGCATCCATAACTGCTTTCTTATAATATAGATCAACAGTTCCTTTGTAATCACTTCTACCTTTCTTCAACTCCAAAGGAAATCATCACTACAATTGCTAATCAAGTTAGTACAATTATTTAAAAATGTATACAATAAAGCTTACCTGTATGTTACAGTGGTAAGAGCAGAATATGTCATCATTCTTGCTATATAACAGCAAATCAAAATTCAGCAGTATTGTGGCTAATATTATATGAGACATTGGCAGGGGATTGGCATATGCATTGTTAATTTTCCAGTTTATATTTTTCTTTTGTAAGAGTTCAGGAAGCTAAACTACATACTTTAAATTCAAATAAGGTTAAAGCAACTTAGTATAAATGGTCAATACACAAGCGTCTAGAAATTTTATTCTGATATATTTCATAGAAATTTTAAAATAAATACACATTTTATTATATTAATGCATGCTCTTATTAGTTTAATCAAGGTTCCAGCTTTACACATTGGCCCATAAAAGAAATGTAAACTTCTTAAAAATAAAATCTATATATAGTATAGCTCTTATTGAATTGCAAGAGATGAATTTTTATTTAACCATACATGTAAATCTTTGGAAAAAACAAAATAATACAGAAATTATAATTCCAATTTCCTGTGCTCTGGGATTAATCTAATGTTTCTCCTAAGCTCGGATCCCACCATCCCCTACTTCTGGAATTTGAATAAGAAAGGCATGGGAGATAGACTGGACAAGTAATTATACAGCACAGGGTCTAATGGACACCTGGTCAAGTCCCCTAGCTTTTCTGGGTTCTGTTAATTTATGCATAGGTTTGGGATAGCTACAGTAGCCACTTAATTAAAAGAAACTGGATTTTAACAACTGATTCTAAGGATGCTAGCGTGCTCTTAAATAAATAGGTAAAGCTTTTATCCACATCAAAGGGAATTACTCATACCTAAAAGCTCAATAGACATTAGGAGTTTAAACTGGGCAATGTTTTCCTATCTTCTCCAGAGGCAACCTCCATTACAGAGTTTTTAGCTTGAGAGGTTAATTTAATTCAACTTGAGTGCTGATAAAATGTCCTTCAGTTAGGAAAGAAAGAGGAAGGAGAGTAAGAAAGGACTTTTTTATTGGGAGATAGTTTTACATATAGAAATCTACAGATTCAAATATATCCAGCCTCAGTGAACAGTGAAATGAAGAGATTTTTAACATTAACAATCTGTCTTTAATACTCTAGCAGTTTATATTATACATAACTGCAGAACACTAAATTCTCATGATTATTTTTGCTGCATATTGTGTTAAACTTCAAGGATCAATCAAGGATTATCAATACAAACTAATATTTCATGCAGAAGTATCACTTATGATAAATTATTTTTTTCTTGTATGAAACTAATTTCCTTAAAACAATAAGTGTCATGTACTGGAAACAGTACCATGCCAAGTGTTTCCTGCATACACGTGTTTCTAATACAAACTAGCTATAAGCCAGAGAAAATAATCAACCACATAACTACATGGCAGATTATATTCTTTCATTTCATCAACTGCCCTATGAAAAGTTAATTGTCTTCAAAGGAAAATCTTTTGGGGCTGTAATTTTTATTTTACTGACAATTACAACGGATTTATTTCTAATGTTAAGGAGTCCACGTTTAGCAAGCACTGAAGGCTTCAAAGAACAGAAAAGATTTTGTATTTAAGAGAGTGATTCTATGAAATTCTCTACTTCCTATTATAGAAAGATAAATTAATATACAGATTAATATAGAACTGTGTGTTATTAAAAGTTATTAAAATTAACTTGAAATGTGGCTAGCCCAAATTAGTAAAATATACACCAGAAATCAAAAAATTAGTATAAAAGAAGAATGTAAGGTATCTTAAAGATTTTTACAGTGATTACATGTTGAAATGATAATATTTTGGATATATTGAGTGAAATGTACTGTATTATTAAAATTAACTTCAGCTGTTTCTTTTAATTTTTTTAAGGCGGCTGCTAGAAAATTTTAAATTACATATATGGCTCACATTATTTTTCTATTCTACAGCACTGCTATAGAAACAGCGGACTCTATTACATGTTAATATTAATCCCAATCCATATTGTTAAATTTCATATCATTATGATATTTGACATAACATATATAATACATTATCACAAGATTCCTGAGCTTAGAATCAAATACACCTCTACTCTTGAAAACAAAACCAAACAAAACGTGCTCTAATATTTTCCATCATCTTCTGTATACTAGCAACCGTGCTAAACTTTGGTTATGTATGATTCAGCAAACACGCAAAAGGGATCTTTTGGGTGATAGAACTATTCTAAAATTGGACTGTTGTGATGGCTGCACAACTATAAATGTATTCAAAAACCAACGGATTGTATACTTATAACTGGTAAATTGTATAGCATTGGAAATTATACCTCAATAAAGCTGTTTTTTTTTTTTTTTGAAGTACACAGCTAGAGCCCAGCAGATTTAAAGTGCCATCTAGAAGCTGCATATACATTTCAGGTAATTCAAATATAATTCTTTAATCCATCATACGGCTCAACATTGCAATGAAAATTTTTCCATGAGGGTCTTGTTACCTGCAATGGGTCCTCATTCAACAGTGGATTATGTCATCACTAGTTGGAGGTATAAGTTACAAAAAAACAAAGGGAACACAGAGTAGCTGAAAGTGGACAGTTTATTAGTGGCACCCAGCTCAGGCGATAATAACCCTTATAATAATGTACATCTTGTTGCAAACTTACCCAGTCTGGGCACCCTATAATTGGACATCTGCTGGTATTTTGCCATGCTAGACTGAATACTGGAATGTAAGAAACCTCCTGCTCTACACTAATAAAACCAAATAAAAGACAATAGATTGAGTCAAAATTAACATTTAACAATTTCCATGTGAAACTGAAAGCTAAACTGCTCATTTCTCTTTC